CACGCGGGAACGGGTGGCAATGATGGTGGTACGGGCTGTGTCGCTGCAGAACATGCTACAACCCAAGGTATAACCCCCTCCAACGTCGCTGATCACGGTACCTTTGACAGCGTAATCGGCCCGATTCGACCATTCCACCGACAACCGGTCCCTCTTTGCCCTCATAACTTCGGAGAAGGAGTGTATGTACTCTGAGGAATGGATTTCATGTTCAGTGCTGGAGTACACCTAGGTATTCGTGAAGGAAAGGTACGTCTTCCAGATGAATAATCCATTTTGATGTACCCGTAAACCATAAGAAGACGTGAATACTGGGATATCCCAGTCTGCCCCCTTCGAGGATTGCATCTGCGACCTGGAGAGCATGCAAATGTGGCCATCCGATATGGACAGTGTCGCCCGCTCCATGATGTTGTATGGACAGGGCGAGGAGACCAATGGGTCACCCAGATTGTTTACGGTGCACGATCGAGGGCTGTAGCGATAAAAGTGGTCAACGTTTGGACCGAGATTGTTGGATCGAGCCTAGGACACCTGTTGCTTGAATTGCGGCGTATGGGAATATCCCCATAGTTGGACAGTTCGTGCGCCCTGGACTACGAAGGTATATGGAATGGCAGCAGATTATTCAGGAGGACGCATTATCCGCGAAAGCGAGGGTGCGTCATGAAGCCTATGAACAGATGCTTTGGGATGCGGCTCCACCTGCAGTTTTTGTTTCCAAGTACAAATGGACAACAAAATTACTAGTGAGGCCAAAGGAACCTGAGCCAGCCCAGGTTACGAAAATTGTGGAAGAATTGCACCCGCAAAGAGACACCGATGGCGTGGAATTAGCTGAGGATGCTATGCTTGGGGCATACTCCCCGAGCGTGATTGGTTTGCGTATGGCTGTTGAAGTTTCGCCTGAACTTGTCACCCTGGATGTCAACACCCAGGATAGCGGAGAGGTTGCTAATTCGGGATCCAGCAGAGACGTCTTAGACGAGATGGCTCAGGGATCTGAATGCGACGCATTACAGGATGACCCGAGTATCGAAGACGAGGAATTCGGATTATCTTCTTCTGCCGTACCCGGAACACTGCTCGCAAGAATTGATGCAGCGTATACCAGGTGCATGCGAGTGAGCGGTGAGGAACACGATTTAGAACCAGCGGTTTATATTCATAAATGGGGTGAGCATATGTCTCAGTTGACGGATCAGCTGGTTATGCTACCCGACGTAGACGACCTCTCTCCTGAATGTGATATCGAGGGGGTTGATGTTGGAGAACCTTGCGAGAGTACGGAGACTCAGGAGAGACCGTTGAAAACCGTCCTGAAAAGACATAGGAATATTTTCTTAGGTGACGGAAATGCTGCCCCGCCTCCGGCGAGGGGTGTCATCTGTGATTTAGATATGGGTGATGCCAGGCCAGTTGCCCAACAACCCGATCGGTCGGTCTGCACTTCAATCAAGGTGTACAAGTTGCTGAAGAAGCTCCTGGAAGCTACCCTGATCGAACACTCTAAGTCGCCATGGGTATCCCCAATTGTGATCGTGCACAAGAAAAACGGAGTGGATATTTGATTGTGTATCGACTATCGGGTCGTGAACAGCTTTATTCAATTGTTAAACTCCCCACTACCGCTGATTGATGACCTCATCACTGGTTTCAAAAGGATGATGTGGTTTATGAGTCTTGACATAGCGAGTGGCTTCTGAACAGTGCGAATGACTGAGAAGGTTACGCTGATCTCGGGATTCACCTGTCCATTCGGGCGCTTCCAATGGGTACGTATGCCATTCGGGTTGAAAAACGTCCCGCTAATTTAGCAACAGAAGCTCAACAATTGCCTGTGGGGATTTGTGCGGCTACCACCCGAAGAAGAAGCACTCCTGGATCCGGATGTGTTAGACTACTTGAAATTGGACCATCAGCCACCGAGTGACGAAATGGACGCAGAACGCAGCATGTCACCACTAGTGGAACAAATGACGGTTTTCAGGCGCAACATTCCCGCACCATCCCAAATGGGGCCAGACTTGGGGCGCAGTTCGTATATTAATGATATCGCGCATGGGGCGGCCACGTGGGATCAGCTATGCGGTGATTTGGATACATTGCTCTATCGGTTACGATATTGGAATATCTCAGTTAGCCTGCCCAATGCAAGTTCGGGAAGCGTGTCATACCGTACCTCTCCCACGAGATTGGTGCCGAAGGGATATGTGCCACCCCGAAGATCGTAAAAGATATTCAGGAGTTACCATTTCCGTCTACCCTGAAAGGAGTCCAGTCACTTCTAGACAGCCTTAATTATTACCACAAGTTCATTGAGGATTACGCTGTGGTAGCTGCTTCGCTCAATGAGTTGACAGCTGACCAAGTGCGCGCAGGGCGAGACTTGTCTCGAGCGAAGGAATCTTTTGAGATCCTGAAAAGGAAGATCGTGTCTACACCTTTACTCAGACATCCGGAGCGAACGAAACCTTTCGTGATCATCCCTCATGCGAATCAGTGGGCTGCCTGTGCGGTTCTAGGACAGATACATGATGGATTTGTTCAGCCTGTTCGTTTCACGGAGTGTGCCCTGAATGACGATGAGCTCAAGTATCACATTGCTGAGAAGGAATTCCTTGTCGTGATGCGCGTTCTCCGTGTTCAAAAGTCTGATCGAAGGCTGTCCATTGATAATCTACACTCGACATTCAGTGTTGAAAGGGGTCATCAATTCCAAGACAGCCGAAGGCCGTCTGGTGCCATGGGGCGTCGCTCTCTCACAGTACGACTTGGAAATCCGGAAGGTTTGTCGAGATGAGGATGATTTAGCCGCCATTATGGGTGCAGGTATCACTCCCAGAGAGCACTTGGATGAAGTCGCAGAATTACTCATTCCAGCCAAGGGGCGCGTCAAACCGTCTTCAGTTGTGAGTGTCGAAATGCTCTCAGAAGAGTACTCCGGGGTAGTCCTGAGTTTCGATGATGTGACCAAAACCTCCACGAGGAAGGGCAGCTGCGGATGCATTCTGTGACAGCTACAGGAATGGAAAGTTTTGGATGCTCGAGGATACATCCTGGATGGAGTCACCATCAATGGCGTGGAATACTTCGGGTTGCTTAAAGGGCTCGCAATGGCTTTGGAATGAGGGATTCAGGAAATAGTCGTTGTGGGTGACTCGAGATTCGTGATTCAACAAGCCCAAGGCCTGATTAATTGTAACCAGCCTAATCTCCAACGGAGGTTAGCTGAAAGTGAAACTCTGAAGAAACGTTCCCAGACGGTCCGACTGGTACACACGAACCGCGAATTCAACCAGGCCGCTGATTACCTGACCTCGAAGACTCTTGTCCAAGGTGAATCCTGGGCTGTTCAGGATGATCTCGAGAAACGACACGTGGAAGTAGTATCAATGATTCGCGAACAGTTGGAGAAGCCGTCGGAAGGCGCCGACACTCGAGTTCACAGTGGAGACCCCATACAAGACTCTGGTGAAGAAGATGACAATTCAGGAACGAGACATGATCCTGACCCTGAATGTGCCCCTCCATCTTCTGCCGCCCGAGTCATGGCCGTGCGCACAAGATCGCGAGCTCAGGAAGTCGATGACGACGAGGTTCCGCCCATGAGACCGCTAGAGTTTCAGGCTGAACGCTGGGGACGGATTAAGGTTCACCAAGAAGATGACGAGTATCTAGCAGAGATAAGGGCGTTCCTAGATGACGACCTGGACAGGTTCTCATCCACACGTCTGAAGAAGAGCAGCAAGGTCACAGATCTGTTCGTTCTGGATGATCGAGGAATATTGTACAGACTTCCACACTCTGTTCGCGGAAGACCACGAGACGCCGTAGATAATCTGAGACTGGTAGTCCTGAGTTCACTTCGGGAAGATATATTGCACTATGCACATGAAGCTTATCATGGTGGACATCAAGGGATCACCAGGACTCATGAGAAGTTACGTACCGAATTCTACTGGCCCGGCATGTACACAGTCCGGCAATTTGTGAAGGAATGTGTAGACTGTGCCAGCGGAAAAGGAGCTCCCCCGAATGCTGGACCATTGCCGGGGAATATTGAACCACGGTACCCTTTTGAGGCGGTTTCTATGGGTTTCGTGACCCACATGCTTGAGTCAGCCAGAGGGAATATTTTCCTCTTGTTATTTCAAGACATGTTTTCACGTTATGTGATGTGTAAACCCATGTTGTCTACTACCGCTCAAGATGTCGCTGAGGCTTATGAAGAACAAGTGTTCCAGAGATTCGGGGCGTCTTCCATGCTACGGCACGATCAGGATCCGCGGTTCATGAGTGAAGTGTTCACAAGGTTCCGAGGACTCTAGATAGTCGACAACGTGCTATTCTCGGATACCGTTCACAAGCAAAAGGACAACAGGAGAGATCTGTTCAAACTGTCATTCGGAGTGTTCGAGCATACGTCGCCGAGAGGGATCAGTCCGATTGGGATGAGCACGCTGAGCGATTGATGTTCGCCCTGAATGTCACGTTCGACGCGACTAGACTGGACACCCCTTGTATTTAGTTCACGGTTGGGATGCACGAAGTACGGTTTCGGCAATGTTGGGTCCAAAACCTTCGAGCGTTCCTGAGCGTAGCGCATATAAGTGGCGACGGAAACTACAGCGCGAATACAGCAATACACTTGCTTGCGCTGAGGATCGTCAGAAGAAGGCTAAGAAGATACGCTCAGACGAACAAACCCAAAAGTGGTTGGAACTCTCCGAGAGGGTCAATGCTGGCTTGAGAAAGGGACTCCGTCTCGCTGTACATCTCGAAGGTTCAGCCTGGATGGAGCCGGAAGCTAGCACACATATGGCACGGGCTATTCAGAATCGATGAAATTCGGGATGACTTCCGTGTGAGACTGAAGGTGAAAGATACAGGTTATCGTGTTAACCCTTGGGTACATATTAGCCGACTCAAGCCGAGGATAGTTTTTCCAAATAGACCAACGATTGAGGTTGCGGTCGCAGGAGTTGGTGATTTCGATGCGGCGTTATTGACCGAAGACAGTTGAGAGCCTGATAGCTCAAATGATGTGTTTGAAGTGGAATCAATTCAGGATGTACGATGGGTGAAACCCACCCGGACTGCGAGGCTATCTCGAGAATATCTCGTCAAATGGAAGGGGTATGATGACCCAGAGTGGATTCCGGTGACACAGCTCAATAGTGGCTCATTGTTGTATGGATTCAACAAAGGAACGCGAGCACGAGCTCGTTTTCAGGCGATGCAGGCTCGGGATGACCACCCGAGTGTGTAGTCAACCCGAATGACATTACCTAAATGACGTTAGACCGTGGAACTATGTGAACTGCTTATGCTTTTGTTTAATTTTTGATGCAGAATTGTGGAGATATTCAGGATGCTCAATGTGGAATTGACTTGATGACTAAGAGTGTTGAAATGGATACGAAAATGGTGAAAAGCATCGGATATGGTGCGATGGACAAGAAAGACAATGAACCTTGAAGACGTGAATGACAGTTGTAATCTGGATTTTTACGCTACTGCTCTGACATGCAACTTGTAAAATGATTCTGGAAGAGTTAATTAGTCGAAATCCATCGTGACGTGGTTCTTCTGCGACGAGCGGTGTGAACCTTTCAGGGGTTTCAATGGATAGTCCTCCGGGAGATGCTTGATTCGGTCTTCATCTGAGGCGCAAGTGTTTCACTGGAAACGTGCTGGCTCTTGGCCATTCAACAACTCCATCCGCTCATTCAGTGTGTAACGAGTGTCGTCGTCCTTGACATGCATTAATATCCAGTGGCAGCATTTGGCAGGGATGGTCCAAGAACCAGGTTCCTCCGGAATTGTTTCCTCAAGGTCGGCATCGACGCGATCTTCCAGGAGTTTCTTGTATTCCTTCTTGGCTTTGTCGCACTCGGCCTAGCGTTCGCGGTGAAGTTCCACAGAGTATGGGTCGTCGGTCTCCAAATCGATGAACATCCAGTGCACGAACCACCAAATCGCTCGACAGTGCACAGACATGAATGCCACTATGGCATCCAGAGATTCACGAGCAACGACCTTCAGGTTGTCCCGTCGTGAATGATCAGGAACTGGAACGACCTTCAAACATGACGTCCCAAGGTTTCGTGTTAACAAGCCCCTTGAATGCGATTGGATCCCAGTGTTCTCGTAGCGCTTGAACATCTTCGTCTTTAGACAACTTCGGAGCGTAATCTGGGAACCCGAATGCCTGTGTAATGGCTTTGGACGTGCCAGGAGGAAACTTAATCAAGACCCCATGGTGACGCTAGGAGAGGATACCTTGACGCAGCTCTTCAATGATCCATTCTTCAGAGTCGCATCCGGGAGGCGTAACGTTTGCGTGTCAGAGCCGTTTGCTTGCGTTCTTGTCCTGGACGCGATTTCTTGCCGTTGCCTGACTTGGCGCGTTTCTTGGGTGGAGATGACGCATGCTTGGGCTTGCTCTTGGATGACGAATCTAAAGTGGTGTCGCAACCACGCTTCGCCTGTTGGGGAAGAGTAGTACGACGCTGAGGTTTGTTTTGAGCATCATCGCCTGGGGAGATGGTCGTATTGCGCACTTCATCGTCTTCTTCTTCCGTGACACTTTCATAAAGCGCTGCCATAATTTCCACGGCGTCATCCTGGATGTCCTTGTGCAAATTAGGCCAACGAGTGCGAATTTCACCCGAAGTGAGAATCTTGGCAAGTTTGGACTCAGCCTCCTTCCTTGTAACATCAACATGGAATATACTTGACGAAAGGAGCCTTATCCAGACTTTCCGGTAGATGATGCGTACCAATATGGAGATGAGATGTCGAGCATCCAGGTGCGAGTGAATTTCAGCATCGGCCCGAGCTGCAGCAAGAGCCTCATCGTAGGACATGTGCGCCCGCATGAGTTCCTAAATATCCACACGAAGCATGTCCCACATGACGGGTTGCGTCAACCCCTCACGTGCCTTGTTGACAGACAGTTGTTTGCCTTTTGTTGGATCCAGGGTGTCGGTCATGCTCGGAGTATAAACACTGGGTCGAAGCTGAAAGTCTGTGAGAGCCTTGGGCGTAGACCCACTGAACAGCTTGTGTTGAATCTTAGCTGGGGTAGACTCAGTAGAGGTTGGTTCCGTGAGGTCCACTGTGGGAATCTTCAGGGTGACCTGAGGTTTGGGTACCTCAGGGACCTTGGATTCCTCATCGTCACTCTCCACTTCATACTCGTAAGAGGCCGGGTCGACATCGAATTCGTCAGTCACATGGATTTGGATTTTCGTGTTCCAGGCGTCAGGTGGAAGTGAGCCTTCTTTGAACCTTTCCAGCAGTGCCTTCAGGCACGGCCAATTCCCGCTAACCCGAGCGTTATGGTGATTTAGAAAATTTATCACACGACCGACCTTGAACGTTCCACCACGCAGGCGATCCTCAAGTTGTCGGTTGACCAAGTGATAGTCCTCAAGTTGACGTTGTAATTGGTATTCTCATCTCAAAGCTCTCGTTCTTGGCGGCTGTGCTCTTCTGCTGCACGTCGAAAATCGCAGTCACTTTCAGAAAGTCGACTCCGAGCTTGCCCCAAAATTTCAGCCATTTGTTGGTGGAAAGCCTTTTCGAGGAGCGCGAAATCTCCACGCGCGCTGAACATCAACAAATCGGCCCTGTTCCTGGTCGCTCGAATGTTCGATCTCGACGAGATTCTCGAGACCGCCATAGCCAGCGTGTAGAAGCATAGAACCCAGACGATCGACGTCAAAGGCTGACACACCGACGAATTGCGTGGTGGAGCAAGGCGAATAGCTTGGAGGCGGTGTAACTTGAACGGGAGGAACTTGACCAACCACCGATGGAGTAGCAGCAACGACGGAACGAGCCTTGGAACGAGCCGGATCCAACCCCGTGATAAATGAGAACTTAGCTAGCCACGTTGACAACAAGTTCTGCGCAACGTTGTGCGCGTTAAAAGCATCGGCTGTGAAAATGCTAGGACGGTCCGAGCCAGAAGTGGGCCCACGAAATAGGTCCACCCCTTGAAGACGCTTGGCAGGCGCGCCGCTGTCTTGTGCCGTCCCACCGCGATCTTGAGCCGTCTCACCGCGTGGACTGACAGACGTGTCCATCACTGGGGCGTCAGTTGGCGGAGGGTCGTCGCGTGATCCGTCACCACCTGGTGCGTTGATTTGCGAAGGTCGGTGTAGTTGTGGGATGTTTCCTGGTGGTGTGCCCGCCGGTGTTTGGGCAGGCGAATGCGATTGCGGGAGCTTGGAGTTTGTGATTGAAGGCATTTTGCCGAATGTCTGGAGTTTCGGATTCGTTCTTGGCAGAGGCTTCCAGAACGAATACGACACGACAGTAGGAATTTCTTGGATATTGCGGGGACGAAGAAAGGTCTCGAACTTTGGCAGTCTTTTGACAATTCTGCGATTCGGGGTGCTCTTACGTTCAGGGCACCCGCGTTCACGATGTCTGTCCATGGTCTGTCACTTCGGAGGTAATTCACTCAGTGAAAGACCAGGGTGCAGAGGGTGGTTGTGACGATGCAACTTGAATTCAGGTGGCCTCCGCAGCCGCCCTGATCGGAGAGCCGGAACTTGGAATAAGGAACGTGATGACATTCTCAGTTGGGTGGTTAACAGAGAATGCTCCGTGAACGTAAATCCCAGTTTCTGGTCACCCGAGCCGAGTGACCGGACACCGTTGTTCCAGGAAGGCGCAGCGTAGAGGAACCCGAAAAGATGGCCAATACTTTCGGGTGGATCAGTAGAGATTGAGGGACTTACGTTTGAAGCAATATGGCGCCCCGGGGTCCCTGGCTGCTGGATATCCTGAATTGCGGGAGTGTGTCCAGAATGGAGATATCACGTACAACCCGAATGGAATACAGCCCGAATGTCACGCCGGACGATTCAACGGATGACGTGGTGGTCCAAGGTACAAGACGCGACATACGTCATTGCAGGCAAAGATCGAGTTGCACCGACGTCAAACTACCTGAAAACCATACTAAAGAAGAGATGAGACCCGTGGGAAGAGTCGGCGGATGCTGCCAAATCAAGGTGGGCCATGTGTCAACATGCGATGTGTGTGCCCAAGCTGGTCGATGATGTGACAACCCAAGCATACACAGACCAAGTCATCCAGGTGGTGTGTACTCACGAGGCAACGGAGACCGACGAATTCGAACCCCCAGAAATCAAGACACTGCAAGAATCTGAAGATCATGAAGAATAAGCCTAAGATCAAGATGATTGATAGTTAAAGTTTAATGAGAGTTTGTTTTGTCATCTAGTGCGCAAGTGGTTCGCAGAAACCGTGTTACTAGGGGCACCTCGTCGGAGAAGACCTGTGGGAGACAACCTAAGGGGTCAAGGACTCAAGGACCAACCACACCAAGGACTGACTACGGCCACGCGGGACGCATGAAGACTCTCAACTTCGTTCAAGCTAAATTAATTCTGGGACCGGTGTGCTTGAACATTTGGGCTGATCCAGTTATTTCATTTGCCAAGTTGCCTCTGGACATCCTCAAGTGTCCAGTTGCATTTCATATTACCCTGCGATTAAGGTGGATTATAGCGATCCCCCCTGGATCTATATTGCTGATTGCTGTGTGAACGCAAGGTACTTGTATTAATTATCCTGTATTAGTATAGGAGTGGTGCGCGAAGGGCTTTCCCGAAACCTACCTGTATTCGGGTGTGCCTAATGACTGACAGGCTGTATATTTTGCATAACAAACTCTGTGTATATCATCTAGGTCATTTGTACTGTTTTAGATTAATTATTGGAGAAAGGTCTTTACCCGTGATCTCTCAACTAACACTCAGGACGACTAGGACGAGGAGGTCTCAGAAGTTCTCTTATATATCTGT